CCACCATCAGTCAGGAGGCAGAAACGTTCTCTATTACCGTCGTCATGACCACTGTGACCACTGACTGAATGTGAGGTATAGCTAGATCCTTGGCCCAGTGTTTGATACACAGAATTCCCTTGAATCTTATCCCCCTTGCATGAGGAATGCTAATACTCCATGTCAGTCTTGGAAGAGGAAATGTGGTTAGCACATAACCTGACCGGAAGGAACTGCCACACAGCAGAACGGATTCCTGCTCTGCTCTCTACTGCGCCTCTGAGGTAAGGACACCCTGCATCCTAACACTCACAGTGTGTTGTCATGCAGTTTCTCAATGAAACCATATTCCTCCAATCTCTCATTTTTACTGTGCTTAAAAAGTATTTTTACAATAACCATTTTTCCACTTATTCTCTCAGTAAACCCCAGTGAGAAGCATGAAGGAATATACAAGTAGATACAAAAAAATCACACAATCCCAGAACCAACGGACACGGCAGGTCAGCATAAGAAAAAGACATTTGGCAGAAGTAGCTCTTCTTTGAGGAACTTCCTCCAAAAGCAGTTAAAGCTGACAACTTCACTAAAAACAGGACCCACGACTGTATAGTAAAGGTTGAGGCATGAATCTACTGTCTTCTCCATAACCACATCTGACCTGATACTACAGCAACACAGAAGCCACCCTACCATCAAAAAACCGATGTCTGTGAACAAAGGCCAGATGCGTAAACTTGGATGCCAATAATCAGTTTAGAATTTTAGAAACTCGGCAACAGAAAGGGTTTCCGGGATTCAGTAGATGCTCTCTCCCCTTCCATCTGTCTGGCTCGCGTCTTGGGAAGAGGCAGTTACTAGACTCCACTGCTACTCACTAGCGCCGTTTATGGAGCACTGACAATGTGCCAAGTGTCCTAAATATGTTCGTTCACTTAGCATCTCAACAGCTATTGCCATCATCTCCATTTTTCAAATGAGGGAACAGGAGCTTCCAGAAGCTGAGTGACTTAGCCAAGTACGGTCTCTGCAAGCAGAAACTGCAAAGCCAGTCCCCATCACGTGTCCACACAGTGGAACTGCCTTCATACTGGCCAGCTTCCACGCACAGTGACCAACTACTCTGGAACCACTCTTATCAATACTGTGCTAAGATGCAAGAGCTATAACTACCCAGTTACCCAGGAAGCTGAAGCAGGAGGATGCCAAGTTCAACACCAGCCTGGTTAATTTAGCAAGATCCTGTCTCAAATTAAAAAAAAAAAAAATTAAAAGGACTGACGATGTAGCTCAGTGATAACATGCTTGCCCAGCAGCCCTGGGTTCCAGGTAACACAGGTAACACAGACACACAAGCAGAGCCATAACTAAATGGAGTATAACCTGCAGGCACTCTCTTCAGGTGATGCAGTACCTACGGCCGATCACCAGTCTGAAGCCTCCTACCCTAACTGTATGCGTGCACTGGACATACAAGCATCAGGGTTAGTTCAACAGGAAACGATGCCACCTTGCTACAGCAGAGCTGGGTGGTACGTTTTAGCCTCCCACTGGCTCCGCTGTATATGACACCCTGACTGAAGCCTCCTATCGGGTTAGAAAATGTCCTGCGGCAAACGATATCTCTGCCTGCTCTTCTGGGAAAGCTGCTTTTCTCTCTCGCCCCCAGGAGGGGCAAGAAACCGTGAGTTGCTCTTTGGGGAAAAGATGCTTTTTGTATCCTAATAATTAGCCCCAGAACTAACTAGAAGGACATGGATAATAAGACTTCGAGTCACCAACTTTCTTCAGATTTATAAAGCCTGGGACATTTGTTGATCCCTCCTAAGAGCATACTGCCCAAAGTGTATAACTGCCCTGGGACTGGGGTTACCTGGCCACTGGCCCATCTGACACGTCACCCTGCAACTCTCTATTTAACCACCACTTACTACTTCAAATATTCAAATACAGTGTGACCAGAAATTGCACACTTTTTCATTAATTTTTGTTAAGATAATATAAAGGAAATATATAAACAATAATTTGTTGTTGTTGCTTTGGGTTTTTTTGGGGGGAGGGCTGTTGTCTTCCTTTTTTTCTTTTTTGAGACAGGGTCTCACTATGTAGTTGAGACTGACCTGGAACTCACTATGTAGCCCAGGCTGGTCTCGAACTCACAGCAATCCTCCTGCCTCACCCTCTAGAGTGCTGGGATTACAGGTGTGCACCACCATGCCCAGCTTATTGCTTTGTTTTCTGAGTCAGGGTCTTGCTACTGTAGTAGTCCACTATGAACTACTATGAACTCACTATGTTGCCCAGGCTGGCCTGGACCTCGCTGTGATCTCAAATGCTGGCATTACAGGTATGCGCCACGATATCTGACAAAAATGACATTTTCTTGTTTTGCTTTTGTTTTTTGAGACACGGTCTCATTATGTAGGCCAGGCTATCCTTGAACTCACTATGTAGCCCAGATTGGCCAATTCACAGCAATCCTCCTGCCTCAGGCTTCCCAGCACTGGGGTTACAGGTGTGTGCCACCACACCCGGCTAAAAATGACCATTTTATTAAATTTACTCAATAATTTTTCTATGTACGATATAACTCAAAACACTCAGTACATAATGCAATGTTACAATTTGAACAGTAGTATATAGTCTCTTTCCAAATTCTTTGTGTACTATTGTCTTTCTTTGAACAACACACTTCACACTGTTGTATTAGTCTTTCCTTTTTTTCTATGGGTGGTATTGTTTCAATAAAATGTTTACCCACTAAACATAACAGTGAAGATGTTGATGACGGACGTCCTGATTGGCATTTTGCTGTCCATATTTTTCAATTATTTGGTCTGTTAGACCTAATCTAAATTGTGAATGACTTTTTGAACCCTTGTTTTTTGTTTTTGTTTTTGTTTTGCGGTACTGGGGATCGAACTCAGAACCTTGCGCTTGCCAGGCAGGCGCAGTTCCACTAAGCTATATCCCCAGCCCCTCCTTGTATTAAATAACAAAAGAGTTCCATACTGCTTAGTCCTGAAGCTGCATAAATATTTTATAATAATATTTTTCCTCACTTTTGATTACAGGATAGCTTGTAGATACTGGTTAACTCTGCCAACACCACCCACAGAATTATTATAATCATTGACCGCTACTGAATTTTTTTAGTTTCATTTCTTCTTTCAAGTTCTATCATTTGTATATGTGAATAGTGAGTAGTCTATTTCATAACTCAGACTTTTCCTCTCTGTACGCTAACATCTCTTCCTTTTTCAGTGCTTTCTTTTGCAGATCTTTTGGCACTTCCTTCCTATTCAGTCTTGGTGCTCCAAACGTGTCTGTTTTACTTTGTAAAAGAGTATCACTGAGTTCTGCGGAAGTATAAACATTATATCTCATGTATTTACAGTAAGTTTTCATAGACTAGCACAAAATTATAGGTTATTTTTCACAAATAAAAGAAATATGAATTAGTAAAATAACCAGAACTTGTTAGATTTCACTAAGGCAAATACAATGTTTTAAATTAAAAAGTATGCAAAAAGTTGATATGAAACACATCAACAGATACTCAAGTGCATGCCGTGCAAATAAGAACTGGCTGGCCGAAGCGTGGCCTGCCCAAGCATCCAGGATGGTCAGTGTGTAAACAAACATGCCATCCAGTGACTCGGGCGAACTGTTACATGGTTAAGTCTTGCGCTGGCAACTCCTTAGCACGATGGCCTTGTTGGTAACAGTCTCTACCTTCTTTTGTTTGCTAGCTTTCCAAATAAATCTTTTTCTTTACCCCAACAACTTGTCCTCTAGAAACTGGCCTTCTTGAGCGGTAAACAACAAATATGCGGTCAAGATCATAATCCTACAATGTAAAACAGAGGGTTTTTGTCTTGTTGTAGTACTGGGGATTGAACTCAGGGCCACCCCACTCAACTACACCCCACATCTTTTGTTTTGTTTTTTGTTTTTGAGACAAAGCCTTGCTAAATCACTAAATTGCCCACGTTAAGCTCAAACTTCCAATCTTCCTGCCTCAGTCTTCCAAGTGCTGAAATTATGAGTCATCACACCCAGTTTCTTTTCTTTTTCGCCTGTATACAGCTGGAATACAGCCAAATATTACAAATACCATGGGTACATTTCTGCCAAGAAATGCCGTCATGTCGCTTTTTCCACATGTGGGTCCTGCATTATTCTCCTAGCATGCTGAGCCTCCAACCTCCCCTCCTCTCCCCCACCCAGTGGCACTAAAATTACTGTATATTGTACCTGAAAAGTATTTTCTGCCTGTAAGCAAAAAACATGGAAGGGGGCAGGGGATTTGGCTCAGTGGTTCCACCGCCTGCCTCAAAAGCACAAGGGCCCGAGTTCAATCCCCAATTTCAAAAAAAAGAAACATGGGAGGGAAACAAATGTTTCCCGATTTTCTGAATTAAAAAATACAATAAAAAGTACAAAAGTAACTGCCTCTGGAAAGTAGGATTATGGATAACTTATCCTACTTATGCTCTTCTATATTTTCCTAGTTTTAAAAATAAGTAATTTTTTGATAGGCATTTATTATTTAAGAAATTTGGGGGTACACACAAAAAAGTGTAAGAACCTAATGAGCCCCGGGTTCTCATCAATTGACTTCAGCATCAATCGCCAAAGCACAGCCAGCCCTGTGTCTTTATGCATTAAACCACTTCCCTTCGCCCCAAGGGGCTATTTTAAAGCAAACCTCAGATGTTGCAACATTTCATTCCATAAATGCTTGTTTGTATCTCTAAAACAAAGGCCTTTTAAAAAAAAAAACCCACAAAAGTATTACCATAACTAGAAAATTAACAATACATATTATATTTAAATCAGAAAAAAGCTTGCCTTAAGAAAATAAGTTATTTAAAGGAAGAAAATGCTCAATGGCACTGCCACCTGAGTGGCTTACATGTCTCAATTCCCCACAGGACGCAGCTGTGCAGCTGCCCCTTTAGGCCACAAGAGTAACTGGCACAAATGACGGCTTTTGTGTACAGTGTTCTTGGCTTTACCTGTTGAGAACTGCTTCCGTATCTCCCAGACGACTTTTAATTTTACTTGTCAGATAGTCCAAAAAGAGTGTCCAGATATCCAAACAAGAGAAGTAACCTTCATGAGTAGGCTATGGTGCAAAAGAAATCCAAACAATGAAATTACTTAATGCAGCTACTGCTTAGAAACCCACATACCAGTGTTTACTTCCACCGGAATGGTAAAACCACAGGCCTAGATACCCTAGCCATGGTAACCACCACCAGTGTTTTCAGTCAGGGTCTTCACCATTGGGCCCTACTGAACCTAACGACACCGGGCACCCTGGAGCACATTATTAAGGACATGTTATGGAAGTCTAGCTGAATTACAAACTACTCAGAGAAAAAGCCTATCTTAAAATCTGAGACAACTGTGGGGAGAGCTCTCACAGATCATCTGATTCAACTCTGTTTTAGAAAGAAAGCGAATGGGCTAGGGATTTAAGCTCAGTGGTTCCACCACCTGCCTCACAAGCACAAGGACCCGAGTTCAATCCCTGGTACAAAAGAAAGGAAGCAAGCAAGCAAGTGAGATTCTGAAATAGAAGCTATTCAAGATCAGGAAAAGGAAGTCCTTTTATCCCCAACCAATTCTCTTTCTACTAGAAACTATTACAAAACCAAAAATAAGTTAGAGTGGTTTCAAAGGTGACAGTTTTACACATGTGAAGGTAAGGAGTATAATATTCACACCTCTTCCTACACAACAAATTGAAAAGGAGCTGTTGAGTATCATCCTCAGAGAATTATGCATTTTGCAAAAGAAGAGGTGTCAAATAGGCTAGCAACAACCTCAAACAAGGTGCAGGTAGGGACAAACAGTAAGAAGAAAAGAGCAAGTCTTTGTAAGGTCTTAGGGCTTTACTGCTTGAATTCTATTTCATACAAAATCCAGCCCTCACACTCTCCAACACCTAGTCCTTTGGATACACATTTGGGCTCTAATGCACGACCCCAGTCTCTGACAGATCCTCTCAAATTCTGGTTACCACAAAGGCCCTTTCATTTCTCTGGTGACTGCCTCACTGAACCATATATTTGGGGAAAGGATGAGATATGGGAAGAAATAATACCATCATCTTCTTGGACGAGGTTCTTTCTATTTCTGATCTACAAGAAAATCCAGAAGTTTACAAGTGCACATAAAGAATTTGCTCAATGAACAACAAACACTGGGTGATAGGTAGTACATCTGAGTTCTACAACCAAGCTGAAAAGCTGTAATTTAGAGAACCAGGCAGATTTGAAAAACTGTCTTAAGTTTGTTGTTTAATGAAACCAACCTGCAAGGTTTATAGCCTTGAAGAAATCTTTGTGCTAAAAAGTTTTAGTACAACTCATAAACATAAAGGGACTGCCTGGAGTTTGGTTTCAGTCTCAGTGTCATGGAGGAAAAGGAGATGGTAGCTTTCTTTCTAAGCGATCTTCTATCTTCTATAGAAACTATTGGCCTAAAACAAGACTGTGACACTGTGGATAAATACAGAACAGAACTGGGAGTCTGCTTATTACAGTCCCAAATCTGACAAGATCATTATTTCTGCAGCAAAGTGAATGTTTAATGTTCCTTTCTGGGCTACTACCTTCTGGCATACATTTATACAAACATTTTCTCCTTCATCCTTGCGATGCTTATTCATCTGAGCCGTCTGTATGGTCCCAATTTGGTGTTTTTTGGTATCATAAAGCTTTTGTTTTTGGTCTTTTCATTTTGTACAGTTTTTGAAGCAAGGATAGTAATGTGCAAAGAGAAAACATCTAAAGCAGGTGAGCTTTAGTGAACAAATATATATTTTCTCTGAGTTTCAGTAGGGTATGTATGATTTTTCTGTTTCTTAATATGAAGACAGTAAGTCCAATTCTTACAATTAATCATTTTTTTAAATGCTATGGATTCTTGGAAAGGTGCAAATATAAAATTTAGTAAAATAGGGTAGGCCTTAGAACCATAAGAAAAACATTTACCAACAGGTCCATTTATTATTTTGAATTTTTTTTGTAATAGCGACAAGAATGGGTACAGTGCTAGGAAAGTTCTGGGAGATGTGGTCAATTTTCCTTTAAAATAAATATCTGGTGTTTCTGTATTTTTTCATTTTCAATAAAACTTAAGTGTTGGGGGCAGGGGGAAGGGGAGACCAGGCAGGCTCTAGCCTCACAATCCAAGGAGTAGCCCTGGAAGTAGATGTCTACAGCTCCATCAGGACACAGCAGGACCAACCTCAGGAAACAAAGTGACCAAGTCCTGTCCTTACTCCAACAACCCAGGATGCCCAGGACATGAAACTAACCAGAATGACCAGAAAAAACAATTAAGGAGCCAAGGGAAAAATTATAGATGCAGTCAGCAGACAGGCCACTACACCTGTATACTAAAGGGGAGTGGTCTTGCTTGGCTTTACTTGCTGAGGCTCCCCGAAGTTAAGTCACCCCATCATCCTCTCTTGATTTTAAAATACCCTCAAAACTCTCAAAAGAACCTGACTCATCTGGTCCCTGTGGAAATGCTTTGGAGAAAAGCTATCACATACATTCACAATTACATTCATTCTCAAGCCTTTTAACTGAGACTTAGTATATGGCTTAAGGCTGGGGGTGTGGGGGTTAAAAAAAAAGGGGTACCAAGTATGCCACTATGTGACCTGAAGCACCACCATTCTCATCCATAGAGTGAGGCCTGTGTGCTGCCCCAGGCTACCCATGATCTGGCCAGATGAGAACTAGATGCTCTTTTTTGAAAACACTTAACTTATGTGCACCCATGTTTATAGCAGCGCAGTTTGTAATAGCTAAATCTTGGAAACAGCCTATTTGCCCATCCGTTGGAAACTGGATAAAGAAGTTGTGGTTTTTCTATAAAATGGAATATTACTCAGCCATAAAGAACAAGAAAATAGATTCATTCATAGAAAAATGGATACATATTGAAGATATACTCCTAAGTGAAATAAATAAGTCACACATGTGTAAATACCGAATAGTTTCCCTGGTGTAAATAATCTGCAACAATGCATAAGATTATAATAAGATTACTGACATTTAGAAATGGGAAGAAAGGAGCTAAAGGTGTAGGGAAGGTGGGATGGGTAGGGGAAGAGTAAAAAGGGAAAAGAAAAAAATGTGAGAGGATGAAAATAAAGTGTTTGTAGATGGGGAGGGGAGGAGGGGGTGAAGGGAGGCCAGAGGTAAGGGGAAAAAATGAGAATCAAGACTTGTCATGTAGAGGTACAACATCCCAACAATGAATGTAACTGTACTGTATCCCTAAAATGTACCAATAAACTCAATTAAAACTGAAAACAAATAAAAATAAAAATAAATTAAAAAAAAATAAAACCTACCCGAAAGAACTCAAGAGCCAGGCCCCAATCCTAGAGGGTGTTGTGCCACCTTTCTTAAGACTGACTATGCTATGGTGAGAACCTTCTAGGTTCCTGTGGACACCCACACTGGGAAAGGAGTGTTCTCATGCAAGAGGCAAGGAGAACAGAGGGAGCTCAGCTGTTAATGACCTCCAGGTAAAGGGAAGAAGAAAGAAGCTTTCTGTTTTCTTCTTGGTCACTTGTCTCTTTCTTTCCCCCATATATAAATTTGAGAAACCATCACTTTCAGTTCAATACGAAACCAATGCACAGAAGTCTAGCGAAAGAATCTTAAGAAAAACACTGGGAAAGACCTTGAAGACTACATCCACAGCAGCCCACCTTCTTAGATAAGCAAGATGTAAACTAAGAAAATAAAAATATCTTACCAAGGACACAGACCAAATACAAACAAGCAGAGCCCAAACACAAAACTTGTAGCTCCAAGTATAAAGAAGGCATGTGTACTAGAAAATACTTGGTGGGGTAGAGTTCCTGGCAATAAAATCCAGGGCCTCCTGCATGCCAGACAAGTGATCTGCCTGGAAACATACCCCCAACCTGAAAATATTTTCCTAGCTTGCTCACTATTATATATACTAAAAAAGCCCATTTATTTTTTGTGCTTATTGGTATGTTTTCTGTATACAATTACATTCATCATGCAGAGCGTCTTAAGCATTTTTACCTCACCTTGCCCTCCTTCCATCTTGAAAGAACCCACTGTATATAGGGAGCAGATTTTAAGCCTTTCCCACAAACAAGCCCCTTCTTTCTGATCTCAGCACTGACTCTTCACCCTTTATTTCAGTCCCACTTAGCCTAAGATACCTACCAACACTCACTCGCCCTCTCTCAGTCCTCTTTTCCTGGTCTCCTTTATGAGTTTTCTGGCTCTGTCACAAAACTTTCCCATCTCTGCTGTTTGTCATCCACATCCGAACCCTCCCACAATCTCATCACCTCTTCTTCTCTCTTCACCCCCAGATCTGCAAGCCCATACTCTCCTCCTCCCTGCTCTGCACTCACTGCCCTGCTACGAGGCATCCAGACACTTCAGGCTTGGGCCTCCTCACGCAACCCCAGGGGCAGCTCGCCCTTCGCACTGAGGGCTCTTGGTTTTGGACACCAGTTCCTATGAGAAAGGTTGGCTTTCACCCCAAAGCCTGGCTCCAATTCCCCAATCACATACACACAGGTTTCCCAGCCCAGACTCCTGTCTCCTCTAGGAAGACAGGCAGGCAGGCAGGCCAGATGTAGTGGTGCACACCTGTAATCCTAACACTCAGGAAGCTAAGGAAGGAGGATCCCAAGTTCAAGGCCAGCCTGGTCTATGAAACAAAACCCTGTCTCAAAAAATCCAACAAATAAAAAGGACAAACTTTAAAAACTGATGCCATCACTGACCCAGCAGTCTCATCCCTACTATACACACCAACAGGAAAGCACTACCAGTGTACCTCAAAGCCATGATCAAAATGTCACTGCAGCATGACTCATGATTACAAAGAAATACAAGTAGCCAAATGAGCAGTGCAATGGACTCTGATGATTTACCGCTGCAACACAATGAACACAAACTATTGCCACAGAAAACATGGCTGCGTTTCACAAACAAAATGTCAAACAAAAAAAGCCAGACAAAACACATACACATTATATGCTTCCATTCAGAGAAGTTAACAGGCAAGACTAACCCGTGGCATGAAGGTCAGGACTGGAGTCACTTGTGGGAAAAAGGTGGGGAAGTGACTCAGGGAAGGGGCAGGAGTGGATTTCTGGGGTGCAAATAATGTTTGAGTCCTCAACTCAAGAGTAGGTCCATGCATGGTCACTTGGGGAAACTCATCAGGCTATCCATGCATGATTCATGTATTTTTTTATGTACATCATACTTTTATAAAAAGCCTTTGGGGGAGGCACCAGTGATTGAACTTGGGTCCTTGCACTTGTGAAGCAGGCAGCAGAACCACTGAGCTAAATCCCCAGCTAAAAAGCATATTTTAAAACACACACACGAGGCAAAGGGGGGGTGTGTGTGTGATGAAAATGTTAAAAACAGACTAGGGTGACAAATGCACAACTATATCAATTCTCTGAGCTCTTAAATTACACTGAGTGGGGGCCGGGGATTTAGCTCAGTGGCACCACGCCTACCACACAAGCACAAGGTCCGGAGTTTGATCCTCAGTACCAAATAAACAAATAAATAAAAATAAAAAACCAAAGTTCCTTGGGAAAAAAAAATTTTTTTCCATTACACTGAGTTAGCTGGGCATGGTGCATGCCTGTAATCCCAGAACTTGGGAGACTGAGGCAGGAGGATCACTGTGAGTTCAAGACCAGACTGGGCTACGTAGTGAGTTCCAGGTCAGTCTCAACTACACAGTGCGACCCTGGTCTCTAAAGAAAAAAAAAATTACACTGAGTAGATTTCATGATATATCATACCACAATAAACTTTGAAGCACCACACATACACACACACACACACACACACACACATATGTATGTATAAAATAGAGGGATACTGGGATGCAAGCTAGATGAAGGTAAGGAATTCATGTGGAAAGACCATACTGCCCCACTCCTAAAACAGAAAAGGAGCTCAAAAAAATGTTATATGGGGGGAAAAAACTGCACACCCCCAAAAGTTAACTCTTCACAGGTTCACTGTATCACTTCTGGTGGGGAGTTCTAGTGACAGTTACAGAACAGGATTAAAGGCCCTAACTTCCTGCTGTTTCTGTCCTCTGCTTCTCTGCCAGGAGAATGGGTAAGAGCACAGACTCTGTGTGAGGCTGAGCAGGTTGCTCCTTGTGCCTTAGTCTCTTTATCTGCAAAACGGATAATAACCGTACCTATAGGTTCACCAAGAAGATCAAATGCAGTAATCTTTACACATTAAGTACTACATAAATGTTTCAGAAATAAAATAAAGCTCTCTCTTCTGGAAAAAATAAGGAAGACCTCCTTTTTTGGTACTGGGGATCGAACTGGGGTCCTTGAGCTTGTGAGGCAGGCGGAAGAACCACTGAGCTAAATCCCCGGCCCAAGAAGACCTTTCTTGAAAAAGGATGAACAGTTCTGCTGCTTTACCTGATGAAACGTATACTTGAACAAAAGCGTCAGAAACTCCACCACAGGAAACTGGGAGTAGGACTCGATTCTCCTTAAGTGAACACTCACAAAAAGCCGCAGGAAGTCGGTAAACTTCTCGATGTAGCTGAAGGAGACAAGAAGACAAAGGGGACATAAAAATCCTAGCCACCTTCTTAAAAAAGAACTTAAATTCAATCCAAATTCATTCAGTAGATAACTAGAGATTTATAATATTTTTTCAGTTAAAAATAAAAAGACCTGCAACAATTACCTACAGGATAGGAAACCCTTCATTCCATTATCACCTGAAACAGCAGAAAAGCAACTTTAATCCTGAGACACTATCTACAAGGCTGTTTTAAGTGAGCATTCTTGTATCTTCTAGCTCAATAGTGCTATGACTCAAGTGAAAGGACGGTGCTAAAAAGGTGACAGGCAGATTACGATGTTACTTCAATCTGGGAAACCTAGAAGACTGATTTTTTTTGCTAGGTGGGCAAAAATAAAAATGAATTGTGCTACAGACATAAAATGAAGGCTACACGAGAGGAAGGACATTGAGGCAACGCATGTTCAGGCTTATACCCTAACATTCATTTCTGCCCCCACAGCTACTGACAGCCCCACACCAATGTAGAAGCAATTCTCCAATATGAAGGGAGGCTCGTAGAGCCAGGAAAGCTCAAAGACAGTTTGGTCTTAAGTTTCCATATGGCAGATGAGGCCCAGAGAGGTGAAGTGACCAGCCAAGGTGACAGCCAGCTCACGGCAGAAGGGGACTAACATTCACTCCCAACGAATCCAGTGCTCTTTCTTTTCACAGCACAGTGAATCCCCAATTCATTTATATTCACAAAATTATCTCACAGAAGAATGTAGCTCACAGCTGCAAGAATAAGAGATTGTTGTTATTAAATACACAGTATATCATCACTCTCACATTTCAGAAACTGCCATTTTAAGCCCCTAAATACCAAAAGGCAATTAGGAAATGAGATGACAAACTACATTTTAGAGACCAACAAAAAAAGAAAAAACATACAAAGCCTTAACTGAAAATTAAATAATGTCTTAAAGCAATTCTGAAGTTCCTAACTGCAAAAAGGTATAGCAAAAAAAAATGAGAACCAAGATCTGACAGGTAAAGGTACAACATCCCAATGATGAATGTAACTGTATTGTATACTTTAGAAGTACCAATAAACTCAATAAAAAAGAGGGGGAAAAAAGGTATAGCCGAGATATGTAAAATAACAAAAGGAGAGAAGATGACTACCCCTCAAAACAACAAAATTGGCCCAGGAATGCAATGTCCCATGCTGTTCCCGGGACCCAGGACCCTGCATCCCGAGGTGGCCACTCTGCCTGTCCAACCTCTGACAGCTGGCTTACACATGTGGGAGCTCATGTGGAGTTTTCTCAAATTATATGCCTGTTCCAATAAGGAAAATGCTGTGCCTGGCTTATGGAGCCAAACACATGGAAAACAGGCACTGAAATCAACTGTTTTGAGAGGCAGGAAAGTACATCTCTCTGTGGGATTTAAGCACAAATGCTAGAGAGGCACAACCCTTCATTCCTCACTCAGCATATTTGTTGTAGTTTTATATAGGTCTCCAAAGTCTTCAACCAATTTACTGTTCTTTAGAAAGCTGCACTCACTTTTCTATCACTCGTAAAAGAACAAAGAGAAGTCATGAGCAAAATATCCAACAATCTTAATTTTATTTTAATCTCCAACTCAAGTTTTAAAAAATTATACTGTTCAGTAACTAAAATGCAGACTAGACTTCACCTCATTTTCTTTCCCTTGCCCACCTTCTGGTACAGATGCTAATGAACATTAGAAGTTAGGAAAAAAGCAATCCAGGAGAAGAGAAGCCAGGGATCTGTTAAGTGGCACCTAACAACCAAGGATGGACTGAGCCACTCAGAATTAGTGCTAGAAGACCCAAAAGCCAGGACACAAGCACGCAATATTGCACATGTCGCCTTTCCACTTCCAGGCACCTCTCAGCTTTCACAGGACAACAGGAAGCATAGGGTTAAAAGCAAGAGCACAACAAAACCAGAACATAGATAATCTATGACGACATTTCTGTACCATCTGAACATAAGCCATAACAAGTGTCTGGCTGATTACACTGTGCTTCAAGGAAAAGTGAAAACAACTGATATATGATGCTTGCTGGCATAAGCAGCTACATTTTTAATTATTAATATACGAGGACAAGGACCTGAGTTCGAGCCCCCGTACCCCGCCCCCCCCCAAAAAAATGAGGTCAATGCAGCCTTTCTTTCTTGTTTTCCTCTGCACTAGGTTCAAATTATATAAGCTATATCCCTAACTTTTTAATTTTATTTTGAGACGCAGTCCCTCTAAGTTACCCATTTTTGATTCTCTTGTCTCAGCTTCCCAAGTGGCTGGGATTATAGGTGTGTGCCACCATGAGTGGCTAAGAAAGCCTTTATCTACCAAGACAGAAAGGATATAAATCTGTGGGAATACCACAGCCTCTGAATTCATACTGAAAGTTATTACTAAATAATGAAAAAATGACAGCAAACCATGGGTTCTTTTGTGATTATACAAAGCAAATGATATGCAAAGCTCGTTTACAATAGATAAAAATAAACATATGCACTGACTTTTTTAGTTAGAAAACCTTGGAAGTGTCCAATTTTAAAAGGACTAAAGCTTTTAACTTTAGGCAGTTTCTGTATTATACTACTTTACTTTCCAAAAAGGAAATAGCTTAACTCTGTATAGTCACAAGGATAGTCCAGGAAAAATTCATGAAAATATTAATAACTTTTGCTGCCAGGCAACCTATAAATTATGTACTAATTCAATACAATGTATCTGTCTGAATGTTTCTGAACTGTCAATGTGATTTTTCATAATGTAACTTCCCTTGTCTAATATACAACAGTAGCATCATGTTAGTGAAAACTCTAAGATACAATAAATGACATCAGCTGCAAAGAAAACAAACAATACCTGCCTCCGACTCCCAATATGAAGTGATCTCCTAAAGAGCTTTAAGAAAATGGGTTTGGGTAATACTAGGCTATATTTAAGAGGACAGAAACAAAGTAATATAGGTATGTGCCACGTTAAGCTCCATTCACATTAACATCTCCCTAACTTTTGATAGTACTTGTCATTTGTGTAAAAGTCACAATAATAACGTTCCAAGATGTTCACTTGGGAAAAGTCAATGGTAAAAACTGACAAGCAGCACCAAGTGAGAAGCCGGTATAACTCCTGTACCTCCTCAGACTCTTCTCATCTTGCCTACACAGGAGCAGCGGTCTCGGTTCCTGCACCGCCTCAGACCTGCAAGCAATAATGAGGAAGCAGGGAGGACAGGAGACAGGTGGGGAAAGAGACAATAACCCACACAATCCACAATCCACTTTCCACTCTCAATGCATTTCCTTTAGCCACCCTAGCCCTTTCTCTCTCTCGTAGACTTACTGGTACACAGCCATCCTGCTGCTCCTCACCAGGAACCCCGCATTCTGAAACCACAGAGGATTCCAGGCACTAAGCAGCACAGCTCGATCAACAGTCAGGGCCCTTTCTCAGGGCACCACCAACTGATACCCGCTGTCATTACCTCTCATCGAGCTCTTCAAGCCTACTCTTCACTGTATGGGCATTGTTATCCTTGGTGATTTTCTGCAAGAGGTAGAAAGTCTGCTGGAACATACGCAGCAAATACTCCTCAAATTCCATAGGCACGCAGTTCTTGGACATGAGTTCATTAATACAGGACATGGCCAGGACCCCAAGCCGACCACGCTCCTGACCCAAGACACAGTTCTGGCTGCTGCCATTCACTGAGGCCATCTTTCTGGCTCGGGTGTCACAGCCAAAGCGTGCAAAGTGGAAGATGGTGGTGAGGAGGGATGGGGTGATGCTGGCAGACAGAGGAATCCAACTGAAGAGGTGGGCCAGGCACTCCAGGGCCAGGGAGCAGACATGCTCACTCTCCGCATCAAGGATGGGGATTGGCTGGCTCAACAGCTTGGCTGAACTAGGGCTCTGCAGCAGGTTACTCAGCAAATCACCTGAAAAGTTTAAAGAGGTCTTATGATACCCAATATCAAATCTCTTACAAGTAATTCTCCTTCAAAAAAAATTAACTTACCTATGAAATAAAAAAATTAAATCAATATGCTCAATGTGAAACACCAGCTAAAGGGGCTTCGGGTAGAGCTCAGAGGTAGGAATAGTGCTTAGCAGCCTGGCATGAGTAAAACCCTAGATTCATTCCCCAGTAAGAAATAAAGAAAAAAAGACAGAAGCAACTATAAAAACTTTACAATACAGCAAAATAAGATCATTGATTCTGATACTTGAGGGAAAATCTGATTATAATCTTCAATGTTTCAAGTTTAGTTTTAGTGACATTTGTAGAATAGTAGTTTCCCAGAAGGCAAAGTAGTGAGGAAACAAATGGACTATTCCCTGACTATAAAACCCTATCCTACCCAAGCTTTCTCTCTTCTACCCTCCAAAATCATGACCTGCTTTTTAGAAAAAAAAAAACACAACCATTAAGTAAATAAAATCACCTAACAAAATATCTGTTGTCAAATGAGCTAAAGATTAAAGACAAAACCTTAAAATGCAAAGAAAAAAGAAAAAAGAAAAAAAAACAGGTATACCTGATCTAAAGGGAGGAAAAGACACACTGAAACCCCCATACACAGACTTCAATAAAAAATAAATAAATAACAGCACCAAATCAATGAGAAACATTAAAGGAATGTGACTAGGCAGGTAGCAAGAAGACAGCACAATGTTAACAGCAGAAAGGACGAAAATCTAAAATACACACAAAAAATGCTACACACCACCATCACTTCAACATAGAGAGGCAGCAGATATGAAGAGATACGTTTCAGAAGAAATGTAAAAGGGAACCAGCATATAAAGAGACATCAAACTCATTGGTAACCAGGAAGTGCAAGTTTTCTGAGGAAAATAAGAATGCTGAAGGGCAGCACGTTTGGGGGGTGGGGGTGGAGCACTCACAGCACCACTGCTCAGTGGACCCTGGCACCCCCATGCCTGCTCTCTATAAACCCAGCCTGCCCGCCCCCATCCGCTGTCTCCTGAACACTCCGGAAGGGTGGAATCAAGTGGGGCTCTTCACTGTGGGGAGGGGATGGGTGAGATGCTGGGGCTGCACATCACACCTCACTCCTAGAAGCAATATTTTAAAGGCACAGGCAAAAGCTAAATAGCTTCAAAAGAGTGCTGAATAAAGTCAAAAATAATTGTGTCCAACCACATCATTTACATGCTGAAATATATGGGAACTACTAAGTATTTACAAGAATGTGAAACCAAAAAGGAGTACGTTATTACATGCATGAAAATGACTGTTCACTGTGGGGAGAGAGGACAGAGGAGAACGGGCTCAAAGGAAATAAATTAGCAACAATGACAGGAGTCCCACATAACCGTGACGCTCAAGTGCCATCAAGTTCGCTATCTGCACTTCTGCCCGACATGTCCAAACCCACGCATTACTGCAAAGTGCCTCAGTTCTCAGTTTGGTCCCCGGCTCCCTGAGGACCCCCAAGACCTATCAGAAGGTACACAAATTGTCTTTTCTTTCCTTTTGGTGGTATGAGGTTCAAACACAGAGCCTCCCACATGCAGTCATGTACTCTGCCATGGAGCTAGCTTCTAGCGTCTCAGGGGGGTGGGGAGTTGTAGTTGTTGTTTTGAGACAAGGTCTCACTGATGTAGTCCCGGTTGGCCCTGAACTCTCACTATGTAGCTCAGGCTGGCCTGGAACTCACAGAAGTCCTCCCGCCTCAGCTTCCCAAGTACTGGGATTACAAATGTGCACCACCACAAACCCAACTCAAAACTTTTTTTTTTTTTTTTTTTAAAGAGGCCAAGTTTCATAGAATTTTTGCTTGAAAAAATGTTTTTACAAAATACTCTTCCAACCAAAGAGACTTTCCCATAGGATACATGTAGCTTTCTGCCTTAAAAGATTACAGTATTACATCCAAAGGGGAGAGTTTTTTTAAATAACCACCTAGCTGCAAGACCTACAAGGGAAGCAGATTTCTTTTTAAGTGCCTTTAAAATGCAAAAATAAGTAATGTAATTGTTGAATCCATTGAAATTTTAAAACTTTCTTTAAAATGGTCCATATGGTATGCATATCACACCTGGTACAAAACTGCTTGTATTTACTTTGAAACACAAAAACAATGCATATGAACAGTAGTCTTTGAAAAATAATTTGAAATGCTACCACTACATCATAAGACCAACTCAGACAGTACAGACAGAATTAACAAACACACTGAATATTAAAGTATTCAAACATTCTTTGAATTTTTTCAGTACCACTCACTGGTTAGGATAAAAAAGTTGCCAAACTAATTCGGAATGCCTTATTTCACACTACATCTACCATATCTTGCTATGTATATTCTAAAAATGCTCAGCTGGGTTTTAGGATGTAAACTCTCTTTTCCTAGCTTTTCTGTTGCAATCTAGCAGCCTTGAACCCTTTTTCCAGCTTCCTCTGCTGCTTCTAACAGAATTTCTTTTCTCTCCGGAATGGTAGGCAGTACAGGATGAGCAACGGCTGGGTGTGGTGTTAAGGAGGATGATAAAAATTCTTTTTCTATTACAGTTCCAGAAAAAGCCTCAGGTGCTCCCGATGAGGGCAACGGTTTGTTTTCTTCTTGTGGTTCCTCTTCCAAAATGCTCACTGGTGTCACCGCAAGTGGCTTCTTCACAGCTAATAACCCCCACCCCAGCACTGCTCTCACTGTTCCCTCTGCTTCCAGGCTACATCTTGGATAGCCTGTCGGTTCTCAGAATTTTGGTCTTGGAACCCATTTACTGTTAAAAATCATTGGAATCCTCAAAAAGCTTTGTGAGTTATATCTGTTCATAATAAAACTGAGGAATTTACAAATATTTAAAAATGTGATCAGCCAAGCACATGATTATAACCCAAGCACTCTGGAGGCTGAGAATTTTAAAATAGTTTAATTCATTTAAATAACAAAACTGTTAATGTAAATATGTTTAATTTTTAAAAGCCTTACTCAAAAAACAAAAGGTGATGAGAATAGCAGTTTTTTATATTTTTAACATTTTAAAAAAGAGAGCTAGACTCTCGTCTGCTTCACAGTCAAGGTATTGCAATATATTGTTTCATTAAAATTGTGAAGAAAATCTAGCTTCATATAGATTTACAACCGAAAAAAGTTTTTTAGATGCCATTTTAGGTAACTATTATATTAAAATTTGACAAGTAATTTCTTAAATCATTAACTACAACATGGAATTTCAATGAGCTTTTCTACTGTACATTCACAAGAAAAAAGGACTAAAAAACGACAGTGTCTTAGAATTGTTATGAGCAAACATTTGCTCTTTTGGCACCCCAAATTTAGGGGGACCTCCTAGTTATCTTCACACCTATTGAAAACTGCCACTTTATACTACTGTTGATGTTGTAAGTGCAAACAAGTCAATTAACTTTTGTCAGCCTCAATCTCTTCAGCCATTAAAATGAAGATTTTGTGATTTTATAAATATGGGGTTTAATTTCCTTATTGAAAGAGTAAGAAGTCATCCCATCTGGTGACTCAGAAGAATTTTCTAGAATGGAACCACTAAGGGGAAAAAGGTCAAGTATCACTAATAATAGTAAGAACAGCTACTTCTTTGTCATTATTTGCTCCACCCTGTACAAACAATTTTACATGTATATTCTTACTTAATGCAATTTCTCATTTTTACAACTCTAAAGCAAATACTACTATTATTAGCATTTAGAGACTGTTAGAATAATCTAAGTATAGATGAATCAATCCTTTCCCCCAAATAGCAAGAGACAGAAATAAAACTAAAATCAGGTCTGGTCTCAAAGTTGATGTTCCTTTCCAAAAATCAACTGGAAAAATTACGTGCCCAGGAAAAATGAGCAAGAAGAAAGGTAATAATATAGAAAAACATATATGATATAAACTAGCATGTGTACAACATAAATGCAACTGCAGTAAGATACATGCACAAGGACAAAGGACACAATTGTACAAAGATTTGTAGAAGGATGGATGATCCGTGATTTTTTTATCCCCTCATTCAAAAGAAACTGTTAACTTTGTTTCTTGATAAAAAATTCTTTTAAAGCTGAGCACAGTGGTGTATGTGGTCCTAGTTACTCAGAAGACTAAAGAAGGAGTAATGTGTGAGCCCAGGAGCTTGAGGCCAACCTGGGCAAAACAGCAAGACCTTATCTTAAAAAGGGGGGGGGGAGCAGGAGCAGGAACGGGAGAGGGGTTTTACTATAATCCCACAGAACAGAGAGGCCGCTCTGTGCTGCAGCATTTCCAATGGGAACCTCCAAGCTGTCTATGCAGGTGCACTTGTGAGTGACTTCATCTGCCCCGAATGAGGTGAGGTCTGGCATCAGCATGCGCCCATGTCCAGAGGTGTGTGGATGAATGTGGGACAGGTACATCCCAGAAATACTGGGCATACTTGGGGTAGATTCTCATGCCAAGTTCTCTTCAGCTTTTTTCTTACATCTTTTTTTTAACTTACTGATATTTTATGTTTTCCATTCAGTTCTGCATGTACTAACTCAGGGCTTCTCAACCCCAGCATTACCGATATCTGGGCTAGTTAATTCTTTGGTGTCCTGTGCATTACAGGATATTTAGCGACATGGCTGGCCTCCACTCTCTAGATGTCAACACTGCTCTTCTACTTCTACCAACCAAAAAATTTCACATCGCCAAACACCCTGTAAGAGACAAAGACCACCCTGAAAACCACAGATGTAACCGTAGCATTAATTCAGTAAGATGAGAGGAAACTGTTCAAGGAGCCCTTGGGAGACCGTGAGATCACAGGAGCTGTGGGTGACTCTTACGGGCAGCTTATAAGGGATATATGAGAAGATTTACATATGCACAAAGATATGCAACTGGAAATGCATTTGGGAGAAAGTAGGAAGGCACAGTGTGGTCTCAACTCAAGGAATCACAGATCTGTATTTGAAAGCACACACCATGTGGATGAAGACAGTATACCTTCCTTTTTGTTGCAGGATAATCAAGGCTAACCAAGAATTGCAGTATTGATCTAATTTCATTCTGTACCCCCTCCCATCTGTCCAAGAAAGAAGTACATACGAGAAGAGTAAGAGGCACAAACTATGCCAGTACAACAGAAAGGCAGACAGCCCCGTCCACACCTTTCCCGCCTTCTACCTCAGAAGCAGTTATTCTCTCTTTACAGCTAAAGACATAAATGGTCAGAGAATTAATGGGATCTGTTCAAGGTCACACAGCAAGCAGGAAGTCCAGGACTCAAAACCAGGGGGTGGAGGGTGTGATCAGAAGTGATGACACTGCCTCGCAGGTACAAGGTCCTGAGCTTGATCCCCGGTACCAAAAAAAAAAAGAAGTGATGACAGTGATCAAGAAGGCAAAACTAGGGGCCGGGGATTTAGCTCAGTGGTTCGGTGGCCTGCCTTGCAAGCGCAAGGACCTGAGTTCAATCCCCAGTACCAAAAAAAAAAAAAAATAGACAAAACTAGGGGCTGGAGGTAAGGCTCAGTGGCAAAGCACTCAGCTAACATGTGCAAGGCCACGGGTTCATCCTCAGCACGCTGGGGAAAAGGGCACAAAATAAGGACACACACCGTGCACCAGACGCAGGATGGTGGGTTCACGTCCCCACTCCACCACCAGAGCTACGGGATCAGACGAGTTAACCTACACCAGCCCCAGGCTCCTTGTCTGAAAACCAGAGACAAAACTATGAGCTGCTTCACCTAAGTCCCATCTAGTACCCTGAGGGATCCTTATCATGGTAGGTTTAGGAGATTAAGCAAAAGTTTGGAGGAACTCTTGTGAGGGAAAAAAACATACTCTTTGAAACCTTTTTCTATCTCCAGAGGGTAACAGTTGTTGTTGCTGCAAACACTACAAATCCCCAGACTCTTCTTTGAAAGTACCCAAACATAAAACTCTATTAAAGGGAAGTCTGTGTGAAAAGAGACCAAAAGCCTAAAGAAACTCCTAAACCTCAACAGGAGCTCCCTGGGAATTCAGGCAGGGCCGGGAGCATCCAGTGGAGACTGCTGATGCGATACGCAAAGGAATTCACCTGGTTTATCCACTGTGTACTACAGTTTCTTAAAATGAACTTCCATAAAATTCAGGCTATGGGGGTCAAGAAAGCTTTCACTTAATGCAGTGCCTTCGGTGCAGAAAGAAAGTAGGAAAATAAACACTGGTTAAATCATCAACACTATCTGAATAATGGATCAAGACCCTATGACTTTGCTTACAATTATCATAAAGAGAAAAAAATCCAACACATGCACACACGATTCCTTCTGTGGTTATTCTCAAAAGGGGAAGCTCATCAGCTTAAAAGCTTACTTAACTCCCTAGGCTTCCCACCCCCACATCTCTATTCAGCATTTTCCCAAATACTGAAAGTCAAGTCCTCAAAACATTTTAAAGTGTTTAAATGGCAATTCTCAAAACTATGCTCCACATGTCCAGGTTTTGTTATACAGAAATGTTAAGATCATTTCACCTACCTTTACAAACGAAACGTAGACAACATATAAAATAATATATTTTTCATTTATGTGATATGATAGTCCCCAACCTGGCCTCAAGAACATACTTGAACAAAGCCAAATACAACATATATCTTTGCAGACTAAAAACTGACCTCAGAAAAATAAGCTTTACTGCAGTAAGCTGCTGCCACTGACTTCAACTGGATGCTAAGCTAGTAGTATATGCTGCTATCTACAGACAAACCCAATTCAAAAGAACTACTCTTTGCAAATCATACATAAGCGAAATGACAAATGTAAAGAGTAAACAAACTATGGGAGACTCCAAAGTTTTTGTATTCAATGATAATATCAAATCTCTACATCATTTACAAATTTTTCTTTAACCACTCAAAGACTGAAAAATATAAATGTACTGAGCCACCTCTCCTTAAGAATGGTGGGGGGACCCTCCATGCAGAGCAATTACCTAGCATGAATAAGGCCCTGGGGTCATTCCCCAACAAGGCACACACATGAGTGCATGCACAAACATAGATGATTTGCCACCAAACACAAATAATATAGTTCAAATTTCAGTGAGCCTTTTTTTTTTTTTTGTACTGGGGATCGAACTCAGGACCTTGTGCTTGAGGCAGGCAGCGGAAAAACTGAGCTAAATCTCTGGCCCTATGAGCTTTAATATATTCTAGAACTGTTATAGTTTTTAATCTGAGTTGTATAATAAATGCCTCTCTAACAATTTTTAATCCAAGTATCAGTGAAATTAGGAATACTGTACTCTGTGCAGTGCCCAACACTTCATGATCTATTTTTATTCTATATTAACTGCAAAAATTTCAATTTCCACTTATTAACAAGAGGCTATATGAAACAGCTTGAACTCAGACGATACAAACATCTGATTTCAACAGCCCATTTCCCTAGGGTAAAAAAGAAAGATGTGGAAATCTTTCTCATTAGTCACATCAACCTTTACAGTACAGGAAGTAAATAGGTGCTAATTCACAGGGTGCACTCTACTTGAAAAGCATTTGTGATCATTTAGTGTAAACAAAAGATTAAGAAACTGCAAGTTTCTGCTGCAACACAATTTCCTCTTTTCATCCACCCTTTGAAAATAGTCAATTTCTGAAACAGATACTAATGTAACTGTGGACAATAACTAGCGACCGTGAAGTATTTAATAACTGTGATTATACCCAGGCTGCCAGAACCACTGAGCTAAACCCCCAGCCCCAGCAATTTATTCTTAACCAGTGTAAATTTAGTGCTGCCTACTGTGCACTAGACAATGCGTCCTGGCCACAGGACTTCTGCTCCAGTCCAGTGGGGAAGAAAGTCCTCTCCTCATGCTGCTGCTCAGCTAGGCAGACCTGTCAAGCCCCAAGGCCTCTACCTACCTAAGCACAAGCAACACAACCATGAAACCTGAGGAAAAAGAGAAAAGCTGACAGGGACCAAAGACCAGAGACAGATGACAAAAGACCAAAGGTGCCATCTTCATCATGAGTACAAAAGAAGCAAAGCGTTGTTGATCAACCTAGTACATCAGAAAGTACAAATATTTAGCCAAAAAAAAAAAAAGGTATAAAGCTAGCTAACAGAGAAACATGGTCAGAAAAGCCGAAACAGATTAGGGAAGAATCAGATCTTTATCCATAAGCTCTAAGAGCTCTGCTCTGCTGAGAGACACTCCCCGCTACACACACAGACACACACACACTGCACTGAATGCCAGGCAGGCCATACCACTTTCTCCGGAGGTCGGCGACGGTGGTGGAGTGGCGGCAGTAACACTGTGTTTGTCCCAGACGGTCTCCAAGATACCTACCAAAAAAGAAACTGACTTTAAGAGGAACAAAGTACAGCATATAGAAATCAGATCTGAACCCTCTCATAGAACATCACTATTTAAACATCCCTCCCAACTCTATGTTGCCCTGTAGCCAATGGCCACGCTCCTCTACTTTCAGCTACGGATTCTGGAGAGTCCTGGCCCACTCGGGGTCTCTGCTCCTCGCCCCAACTTGGTGATGTGGCTTCTTCCCACTGTTTCCACACACTGCTCGGATCCCAAGGTCACCTGGTGGCTAGGTCCACTCAAGAATCACTTTAATCCTTGTCCTCCTAGACTACTGGGTGGCACTCCGGGTCAGTGCCTAAACTCTTCTCTGAGCCCCTGATGCCATTTTCCTCTGGTTTCCCTAGACACAATTCTCTTTCTCTGTTATCACCACCCCTTGCCCGTCCATCATTTAAATTATACCTCTTTCCCCAGGCTCCTATAGGGAGCCATTCTACATAAAAATCATTTCACAATTAAACTATGATCAGGGATGTATGAGGTCTAGTCTTCTTGCCTGCGGGCCAGCTAAGGAATGCTGAAACAACTCCATTTTGCCTCTGGTCACAGCTGAGACCTCAATGGTCCCGTGATGCTGTGAAGTTCAAGGGCAAGATTACATCAGCTGAAGACATCCTGGTTCTTTGAGAAAGTAGCAGCAATACAAAAACAGAAAGGTTTCCGGTGGGTAAGGACAAATTCCTTATCAGCTTAACTCATCCCACCTACTGTCGGAAGACGGAAGACGTTTAGCTCATCTCACGTCCTAACCAACTTGGGCTCCTCAAAGACCGAGGATCCTCACCCCTACCCTCCAAGCCATCTGATGCTCCCTATGAACCCAACAGTGGCAAGCTCGGAGTGCCTCTGTCTTTGCTGTCTAGCACATCATTCATAGGGCCCAAGACCCAGTCTTTCCTCTAAGTCTCGTTTCTGTCTTTATTTTCTTATTAGCTTTGTGCTGCTGTGGTTCACAGGACAACAGGGCCTACTGCAGGGGTTCTGGTAATGTCCCCTTTCCCATTCCCTACAGACCCCTTGTTTATTCACCATCTCTTCCTCTCCTTTGACCCTCTCTGCTGAAGTAACTCACCTACTGCCATGGCTGTAACAAAATATTCTGAAGCTTCTCCAGAACTCATCCTGACTATATACCAGCTCCATGTTACATCACATCACATTACAGGGACTTAAAACTAGGCAAGACAGGGCTGGGAATTTAGTACAGTGGTGCTACTGCCTGCCTCACAAGCACAAGGTTCTGAGTTCGATCCCCCAGTACAAAAAAAAAAATAGGCAAGAGATTCACTCACAGACCTGCATGGCCAGCTGCTTCCTGAACAACTTCACCTGGACATACCAACCTCAGCTTTTCTTCCCCCACAAACCTGCCATTAATCCTCCCATGTTCCTCACTGCATAAAGGCATCACATCACAAATCTCAGCACCTGGCCTCCGCTCACCTATGTGAGAATTCAGGTTGTCCCACACAAAGGGATTCATCGTGTCAAACCATCTGCAGGGCCTTCAACTTGTGCTTCTCCACCTCTGACCTGCTTTCCTATCCCAAATCCCAACTTGACCTTTCCACGAAACTACCTGCTACGTATGGATCCCTCAGAATTCCATGCAGTTCTCACCTCCTCCAGCCTGCTCACTTTTAGCTGTACATGAAACATGCCTCCAACCTAACTCTTCAAACACTGAGTTTTGTTTTTTTAAACTGCCTGCTTACTTGCCTGTCCCGCACAAGGATGCAAATTAGCAGAGGGCAAGAACTGCTTTATTCCTGGTATGCCTCTAAAGAACCAGGCACATACAATAATCATACAGACTAATAAAGATATTTTACCTCATTTATTTTTACAATATGGATACATCTTGAAGACAACGTTTAAGTGAAAGCTACCAGACACAATAGGTTATACATGATTCCACTTTATGAAAAGTCCAGAGTAAACAAATCTTTATAGACAAAAAGTAAATCACTGGTTGCCAGGGACTGGGGGAAGAAAAGAAGGCCAATGGGTATAAGGGTGATAAAAATGTTCCAAAATTATACAGTGGTAATGGCTGCACAACCTTGTGAGTACACTAAAAAACAGTGAATTACTATACTTTAGTGAATTTTATGTTATGTGAATTATATTTCAATATTTAAAATATTTGAAATGCTGCTAGGCACAGGACAGAGAGACATAAAACATGGTCCCTAAATATAAACCTATCATCTAGATGAGGCATCAATAAGTGCGCTTTGAAAAAAAAATACTCCAAGGTTCAAGCTCCCTTCTAGGATTTAATGAAGTTGAGGAGACAAATGACAAGTTCACTTTTAATCAGTCATCCTTTCAACCAATTTCAAGGACCTGCCACATACCGAGCATCAAGTGGACATAAGACAGAAGAGCTACCTGACATTGAAGAGGAATCTGGGGAGAGGAGCTGGAGGTGCAAATACTTCTCTTCAAGACACACTCCTAACAGCACGCCCAAGTCCAGGCACTGGAGGGCCCAGTGCTGAGCCATCACACACCCAACCTGAATGAGTGGGCTCCCACAGCCCTAGGGACCCGGACACTCCACTCTTCCCACCTTCCTGTCTCACCGCATGGTGTGCTTGCCCTCTGTACCCTGTCACAAGGCTCTAATTCAACAGATGGAACAAAATGCTACATCCACTGCAACCTAGGACACAGGAGCTGATTCCAAAGCACCACGTCTCACTCCCTTGCACAGAACAGGAAATCTTCACATCTTCCCACCCTTCCAACTTCTTCTGATGTTAATCAAATTACTTTAAATAACACTCTCACTTAAACTACAGCATTTGTGTTTCAGTCACATCCCCATGACCTAGACTATATCTCATCGATCGCAATTACAGTGAAGACCAATTAAAGAAAGACTACAAGGAAATTACCGTTACAGATCTATTCTAGTGTGTGTTGAGACACTAAGCCCAAGGGATAAGAAAGCACTAAACTCTTTGTTTTTATGCTTAGTCTCAGAAACTGCCCAAAAGAACTGAGCTCTGGGAATCTCAGACAGGGCTTTGTCTCTGGATGCCACCAACCAATTACCTGTAAGGAGCCCAAGCACGGTCTGCACCTGGTCCAGCAGCAGCTTCCGCAACTCCTCCTTCCGAGCCACACTGAGGTCCTCACGGGGACAAGCTAGCTCTTCTGAGGTTGTCTTCAACATGATCAGCCCAAGGGGAGTTGTTGCAGGGGACTGGATCAACTGCCAGGGAAAAAGCAAGTTCTGAGGCGTGCTGGTTGAATTAATAATGTACAAAGAGGACTTAGGAGCATTAACCCTGTTAAGTACCTTTGTATATGCTTAGTCTTACGTGAACAGGCTATAAAAATCACTTTAGAAAAATGAAGTATATTTATATACTTCAAGTATATTTATATAGTTTTACTTAACTAATCATTCAAAACATACTTTCATCTTATTTTAAGGACTAAATTCTAACACCACGAACTTAAAAACAGCCAGAGAAAAATGTTCTTTTATAACTAACATGCCAATTTTTACCCAGGTCCAGGTTTCTAACAGTCTTGCTCACTTTGCCTAGTAGCCAAATTTTGGGGGGTTTGGGGTTTTGTTTTTTTTAAGAGCAGGTAGAATTTATTGAAAGAAAGCTTCTGTCTAAGAGAGACAGAAGGGGGACAGGAAAGTGGGTTGCCCCTTCTAGTAGCCAAATTTTATACACACATACAGACTAAAATACAGATGGGCCAGGGATTTAGCTCAGTGGCTCTGCACGTATCTCGTAAGCACAAGGTCCCGAGTCCAATCCCTGGTACCAAAAACAAAAGCAAAACAAAAATACAGAATAGAGTCACACACTACATTGTGTTTTTGCCAAAGTCAGATT